GTAGTACCAGTATATTGTCCTGTCTTTCCAATATTTTGTAATATTTGTCAGTAAAACTAAATAATCATTGAAATTTAAAATTTGAGAGATTCACAAGGATGTATGCAATAACAGCATTAACATCATTTAATTTCTTTTGAGATAATTCTTATCATAATGTAATGAAGGGAAATAACTCTATTACATATTATTGGTTTTAGGTGTATCATAATGTAATGAAGGGAAATAACTCTAATACATATTATTGGTTTTAGGTGTATCATAATATAATGAAGGGAGACAACTCTATTACATATTATTGGTTTTAGGTGTATCATAATGTAATGAAGGGAAATAACTCTAATACATATTATTGGTTTTAGGTGTAAGTGCAGTTATTCCTAACTAAACCTTGAATACTTTTACATGGAGCTCATAGAACTAGTTTTTATTGGTGGGTAGCTAGGTATATAGCAGCAAATAATATAGCAGCAAATAATCGAAAAGATTTTGAATCTTTTAAAAACATTAAATTTAATATACAAAGATACCCCGAAGATTATAAAAGAAAAAGCAAGGCATATTCGTAAAATTTGAGGCAGAAGCCATGTTTTCAACAAATGCAAGTAAATATATATATTTGTACTATCGCTTGGTTGAAAAAAATATCAACTTTCATCTGTCTTTGTTCGATATTTGTATAGAATGACACATGCAAAAAGAAAGTTTTCTATGTTTGAATCAAAATAATCATAAAAAATCATTGCTCTCATGAATGTGTCACTAAGATGTTTGCCATAAATGTGTCCAGGCGCTAGTTAGAATATGTTTCCCCATAATTTACAATAAATAATAACAAACACTTAAAAATCAAAACCAATACCAACACTGCAAGATCTTTGGGAGTATATTGTTCTTCTACAACTGAAAACAAATAATTTAAAATAAACAAACACTGGTAAACAGGATAGATCTCAATTGATGTCTGTAAACGTTGACTTAATTACTGACGGCATGTTCTTTGCAAGAATCTTATTTACAACAGAAATATTCTGGTTTAATTATAATGTCTGGATATTCACTTCTGATAGTTTTGAATCTTCTTTCCATGTGAATAAGACACAACCATTCATTAGTACTAATCTCTGTCCTGAAGGAAATAAATCCTATGTTTATCTACAATATATTGTGAGTTTCAAGGAATGATTTGTAATTCCAAACAGAGTGAAAGAGTAATCCCTTTTGCATATTTTGTATAAGCAGCATTTTACCAGAATCAGATTTAACTGGTGACTATACAATGTGCTGAATTTCCTCGAATTTAGCCAATTAAGGATTTAAAATTTGAAGGATGGCTGTATATTTTCACAACATTTCTTGTGTCGTTCTTCTCATCAGCTTGCGCACATAAATACAGCGGTACAACAAATAAACGTGCAGATGATCACATTCATGCATCTGTTTTTTTATCGCTGTAATATGTACTGGAATGTATGTCTATAATCTGGAGATAAACACCAACTACTTATCTCAATAGCCCAGGGGAGATAAACACCAACTACTTATCTCAATAGCCCATGGAACCAGTTTATTAGACCACATTTAAACATTGATGTTACGAACTTTGCAGGACCATCGAGAAAATTCCAAAACTTCGCGGATTTGACTTCTAAACATTTTGAGATACTGTATACAGTGTATAAGACGAAATATTAGGTGATCGAACACAAGGCAAGAAATTTAATTAGAAATATTAAAAAAATTGACTTAATGTGATTAGCAAAATTTGTTTTCATGTACATTATACATACATATTTATTATGTATTTATCATCTGTAGTTTGCATGTTTAGGTTAAAATAACCCCGAGACATTTCAAGTAAAGGTAATTGTTTTATTTCTATTGATCAGTTGTTATAGCAATGTTTTCCAAAACAGCAAGAAATTCAACTTATTTAAGTTCAATTCACCAATGATATATCAGCAGTGTTTAGAACTACTAACTCTAGAAAATAAACAGAAAATAAGAAACTAAAATTCTTTTATTGCCTCCAACACTCTTTTATTAATGAAGCTCTTGAAAGCATTTAATTTCTCGATGACTGAAACATTTTAAATTGAACATTTTTAACAATTAGATGTGAAATTTACATGGTGACCAAACAGTAATTTTGACAGATTCTCTGAAAGAAAAACTCTCAAACATGATTTATAAACCTTATATGAAATGTAAATTTGTATTATTATGATCTTATAAATATGATTAACAATATAAATTCATGGAAAAATCAAAAACAGATTATAGCAATATGTATGTTTACATAATTAATGTTCATTTTTTTTTAATCTTGCTTTCTAAGTGACATAGGATGCTAACACAAGTGTCAATAATTTGAAATTATTCATTTTTATATGATTATCATATAATTGATAATAACAAAGTAAACACTCTTACCAAACTAAATTTATCTTCAGTGGAAAGTCAATTAAAACTACCAAGAAAGCCAATCTTAAGGCATTCACCCATGAAATTTCATAATGAACTATTCCAACCTTTGAATAGGAAGAGTTCAAATCTATCATCAGGGGTAAATCAGTTAATGATTACACTGTGTGAAATTTCAATGAATGGAATTTAAATATGAAAATCTTTTTTTATTATCAGCTTTAGAAAATTTAATATTTATGAAATGATAAAATGTCTACTGTTTGGTTTAAGGTAGGTAACTTTTGCTATTTTTTTTTAAAAGATATATATATATGACCCTATATGTTCCAGAACCAATGTTGATATAATATAATGGAACCTGCCCATGAGATCACCTCCATCCAGAGACCTCCTGAACTGTTTAGAGTCAAGCTTCACAAACATTCATTGCAGTTATTTTCATGAATATATATAGGTCAAGGCCATTTTTATTTGCAAACTTTGTTGCGCTCCATCCCATGAAACTTCCAGCCTAATATCATAAATAAATAATCTTTATTTAACGTTGTGAACAATGTCAGCAACAAACATAGGCTGTAGAGCTTATATTACGACGCCGTTAAGGGAACAAAATGTTGTTTTCCTGGCGGAGGAAAGCCCACGGGGAAAACCAGTGTGCCATCGGAGGGATAACGACTAACTCTATCAGATAACGACTAACTCTATCAGATAACGACTAACTCTATCAGATAACGACTAACTCTATCAGATAACGACTAACTCTATCAGATAACGACTAACTCTATCAGATAACGACTAACTCTATCAGATAACGACTAACTCTATCAGATAACGACTAACTCTATCAGATAACGACTAACTCTATCAGATAACGACTAACTCTATCAGATAACGACTAACTCTATCAGATAACGACTAACTCTATCAGATAACGACTAACTCTATCAGATAACGACTAACTCTATCAGACATCACCCTCTTCTTTTCCTCCACTGTTGGGGATAGAACCGATATTTTTGGGAGAGTGAGTGGTCTGAAGCTCACGCTTGATTGCACACAGTAGTAATGACTGTGGATGATTGATACAAAAGTCCCTTAAACAAACTCCTGTAAATGATGCTAAAGGAATGCACTGTATCAATCGTAACAGCATAATATACCAACAAACGAAATTTGATGGAAATAGGTCAATATCTAAATTTTGACCAAGGTGGCCATCTTGGATGCACAGTTGCAAAGACAAAGGTTTTGTTTTATATGTTACCATGTCAACTAACACTCATACTAAGTTTAATTGAAATCTGCCTTGTAGTTTTTCGAAGAAAATGGTAGGCCACATTACAAACAGCCAGAGGCTTCCCTGGCCATCTTGAATGCGCCGCCAAAATAGAAATATTTGTCTTCCACCACATCTGGGCACCCCCCCAATACCAATGTAGAGCTTCTGACATTTAGTTTCCAAGAAAACATGCAGACAAGTTCACAATGGAAGAAGAGGGAAAACAAGAAAACATCCGAGAACTAGTCCCAAACTCTGTTTTGGAGACTAAACAAGGCATCACAAGTGATACAAATCCCCGCGCATTCACATATTGTGTGACACATGTGTGTGAGGAAATTAATAGAAAACTTAATGATGTATCTACTTTAGCGACTGCATTCTTTAATTGATAATAGGTTTTTATTCTGCTGAGGAATGAAGTCAATAGAGCGACGACAAATTTCTTCTAAAAATAGTAAAAGTGATCTTGACCTATAACACAGTAACCAGGAATGAAGTCGATAGAGTGATGACAAAGTTTTTCTAAAAATACTAAAAGTGACCTTGACCTTCAATTTAGAAACCCAAAACGCGAACTTGTTCAAGGCATTGCCATACCAAACACTTGTATGAAGTTTCATGAAATTCCGTTGAGGAATAAAATCAGTAAAGCGGTGACATAGTTTTTCTAAAAACAGTTAAAGTGACCTTGACCTTCAACGTTAAAACCCAAAACGGGAACTTGTTAAAGCTATGGCCATACCAAACACTTGTATGAAGTTTCATGAAATTCCGTTGAGGAATAAAATCAGTAAAGCGGTGACATAGTTTTTCTAAAAACAGTTAAAGTGACCTTGACCTTCAGTTTAGAAACCCAAAACGCGAACTTGCTCAAGGCATTGCCATACCAAACACTTGTATGAAGTTTCATGAAATTCTGTTTAGGAATGAAGTCGGTAGAGCGATGACAAAGTTTTTCTAAAAATAATAACAGTGACCTTGACCTTCAACGTAAACACCCAAAACGGGAACTTGTTGAAGGCATTGCCATACCAAACACTTGTACAAAGTTTCATGAAATTCCGTTGGGAAATGAAGTCACTAGAGCGATGACAAAGAGTGTAACATATGTACATACATACGTGCGGGTGTAATCCTACAGTATATCCCCTCGAACTTTCGTTGCGAGGGGATAATAAAGTGTATATAATTTATATGGCGGATTCATTTAAACCGAACTTTCAAACATGTATGTGGCAATGATGAGAAGAAATACTTGTATTTACAATATCATGAATATGGGGATTATTTATTTTTTTAGTGAAACTAGGTACAACAACATACATTTTTGTCCAAGTTACCAAGCTAAATGCTACAATCTATGTACTACCATGTATAACATAAGACCAACACACGGATCTCTGTAGGAGGTATATACAGTATATATAACTACATTAATTTGTAATCAAGTGTGAAACATGATGAGAGGTTGCAATTGTGACAAATATCGAAGATGGTTTTTTTAAGCGAATGGGATTTAAAATCAACACAGCAAATATTTAATGGTGTACAAGATGTTGGACTTTGCATTGCAGACGATTTTCTAAGGAAGTCACCATATTTGTATCTGTGAGAGAAAAATGAAGATTTTAAATTTATTTTACGTCACTGTAGAGTACACATTATTCGTGTTTTGCTATATTAGAATGAAAACTTAATATTATATCTGTAATTAAGACATCAAATACTGCTAATACATAAGAAAGATGTTAAAATGCTAAGGCATAAATGTCCTGACACTGTTAATCTTCGTACAGACACTAATTAAGGTCTCTTTTGTTTATCGCCATCCAAACAGTTGAACCGGTTGTACCAAAGTTGTTTGTTCATGAAATAACGTCGAACTAAGGAAGCAGATGCTGTTTTCAGGCATGCCTTGACAAAGCCTTGCAAGGCCTGAATGAACTTCCGCCAGGATTTATACCAAAAAATGGGACGTTTAATCACAGACAAACCAGCATAAACGAAAAGGCCCTAAGTTATCTAAAGTCCGATGCCTGGGAAACGAAAACCTGACATGTTTGTTTTAGCTCAAGTCTATAGATGTGTCGATTCCCGGTCTTCATTCTCCTGATGTGTTTTAGATTGTTCATCTGCCAAAGGTGACGTGGACAGTGTCCTGTGCCTTCTGGACTGGTCATCTGACACTGGTGAAGTGGACAATGTCCGAAAGTCCTTTAGACTGATTAGACTGACTGGTCTATGTAAGGATGTCTCCTGAATTGGTCTGAAAGTGCCCACACTAATGCCTCTAACCGACCGGGCGGGTTTAGCCTTATCCCGTCTATCAGGAAGTTTATTGTCACTCGAACCAAGCTTTCTAAACACAGAGAAAGCGGAGGTCTTGCTTCCTGTAGATTTCTGTAGATGAAAGTGATCACTGTCGGATGAACCAACAGAACCTCCCTTGTGGGTTAGGCTTCCACTGGAATCACTCTCAACTCTGAAATTAACATTTTTATGTGGTTTTGCCTGACCGTCAGCTGACTGCTTTGGGGGGGAGCTTCCGGCGCCAAGGAAGTTTATAAGACCTCCAGGTTTTGACGGAATAGTCTTATGGGTAGTGTTAGTGGCTGGTCTACGCAAGTAAGTAGTATTAGTAGAGGTGACATCAGGAGGGATACTGTTAACACCATCACCACGGAAACCAGAAGAAGAAGGATCTTCAAGCTTAGAAAACGTAGATGAGATCTCGCTGTTCGTGATAAATGATGAGTCATCGGAGTCATAGGTCAAGGAGAGGTCAAAGTCATTATGATGCTGAGAAGTAAAACAGAAACAGAGTAAGAGTGATTATGTACACAGACATTACAAACATCTCAATGTTAATCAGGAATAATACATCAAATTAATAGGATCATGGATTTTTGACTCATTCATCCCTGAAATTTCAAAATGAACTATACCAGGGGTGAATGATTTAAATTCTAGAAGGGCGGGGGTGAATAACTCAACTAGCTCAACAACAAGGCTGTTTATGTTGGGGCTAATTATAATAATTTTCAACATTTAATAGAAAAATACAGTTTGGGTAAGTTGATCTCTTAACTCACTCCCTCCTGACAACGTATTAGAACTCTTCCAATTCAAAGGTTGGAATAGTTCCGAATAAAATTTCAGGGTAAACGATTTAATCTGAGATTTTTTACTCCAGAAAGTAACTTTTTTTCAATTGACAAAAATTGAAATTTGCTTAATACGAAAGGTCCTATCGACAGGCTCCCACTGTTTTCGCTATTTCAAGTATAATTATCATGTATTCTTTTCTGGTGTACATTTCAACTAACTAAACAGCCAACAAGCATGTGAATCTGACCATGTACTAACTTTACGATAGCTACTCACATCACATTACGGACCTAGCTTAACTCACATCACATTACGGACCTAGCTACTCACATCACATTACGGACCTAGCTACTCACATCATATTACTGACCTAGCTACTCACATCACATTACGGACCTAGCTATTCACATCACATTACAGACCTAGCCCATGTCACTCATTTCCTGGTATTTTTCTATTGATTGTGATAACAATTACAGGTCAGAACTTCTTTTGTGCCAGAAAAGCAATCATGCTACTTTATATCTTTTAAATATTGAAATGTTGCGAAAACAGAGGGAACCAATCTGTAGCCATCTTTGTTAAGCTTAAGTAGTAATAGTGTGAATATTAGAAAGATCAAAGTTTAGTAAAAGGCTGGTATATCCATGATAATGAAATATAAACATAAAGTTATATCTCAGTTTAAAATACATCTGGAATTTAATATGACGTTTTGGTTTTACAAAGTTTATAAAAAAAATCGAGGACATAAACATGTATGCCATGCTAAAATAGAATTTGTGTGAATCAGTTTTAAAGTGCAATGCAAAATAACAGTGCCATATATGAATTAAGCCAAAATATCTAACACAAGTAGGGAAATCATATATATGGGGCAGAATATGTGGGTTACCTCTTATCTAGAATTTGGAATTTAAGGGAGGGTATTGGAGATTATAAATGAAGGTTAAGCTGTATCAGCAGGTGAAGGTCACACATGGTGATCACATATATATAGGTCAGCTGGTGAGTCATACAGAGCTCAGAAGGTCAAGTTCAAGTGTGGTCACAAATATCAGGTGGTGAAGGTTGTACAAAGGTCAGCAGGTCAAGATTATGCATTGTGGTCAAAAATGTAAGCTGAAGGTCCAACTTGTACACAGGTCAGCAGGTGTGTATCGTAAAGCATACAAAGTAGGTAAAGCGTAGAATAAGGTTGTAAAGTCACTGAAACTCATTGTCGTCTAAATTGTTTTTGATGTCACTGAAAACTTAGCTGAAGATCAAAACCGAGTAAGCCATTAAAGCGATCTTCAGTGCAACAGGTGAAGGTCATTATATATCAGAAGGTGAAGATCACAGTGAAATCAGAAGGTGAAGGTCACATTGAAATCAGAAGGTGAAGGTCACAGTGAAATCAGCATGTGAAGGTCACAGTGAAATCATAAGGTAAAGGTCATTGAGGAACCAGCAGGTGAGGGTCAAAGTGAAATCAGAAGGTGAAGGTCACAGTGAAATCAGTAGGTGAAGGTCAATGTGAATTAAGCAGGTGAAGGTCACATCTCAGAGATGAGCAGGTATAACATTAGCAGGTGAAGGTCATTGTGGAATCAGCAGGTGAAGGTCACAGGTCAGTGATGAGCAGGTACATATAACATCAGCAGGTGAAGGTCATTGTGGAATCAGCAGGTGAAGGTCATTGTTGAATCAGCAGGTGAAGGTCAATGTGGAATCAGCAGGTGAAGGTCATTGTTGAATCAGAAGGTGAAGGTCATTGTTGAATCAGCAGGTGAAGGTCAATGTGAAATCAGAAGGTGAAAGTCACCGTGCAGTGATGAGCAGGTATAACATATAAGCAGGTGACAATAAAGTGCCACACCAACATGACAGTTGTCTTGTATTCAGTGTAGAGGTCGACCATCACTGATTCAGGTGTTCATGTGTTCCTACACTTTCAGATGGCCAGGGTTTTGATGATATAGATTTACAATAAACAAAGTAAGGTAAAAAGCGTTATGCAGTAATTCTCCTTCTGATCTTCCAGTTTAGCATCAATGTGTAATTAGTGTGCTGTCAATATTTGATAACGTGCAAATTGTTCCAACAGAAGTTCATTTTCAAAGTGTTGCTTCCACAGGCTACAGGTACAATCCAAACAATCTGTAGAATCCTTAAAACTTGTACTGTTACTACACAATCAAAACATTCCTCTTTTTGTTATCTTGTTTATAATTCTTTTCTGCAACAGTTTAAAAATTTGATATGGATTATACCTATAAAATATGGGCTCCAGACCGTTATATGTCAGGATTCCAGTTTTACTGACCTCCTGTAAGGACAAACAAGGGACCGGTACCAGATCCATGTTATGTACCTGTACTTACAACTTTAAACCAAATATTTACCACGACAACAAACATGCCCAGACCTAATGTAGGTCACAGTGATGCAGTTTCCATGACAACAAGACATGCCCAGATAGATAGATGACAGCAAGTCCAATGAACGACAGTTTGTGTACAAGGAAAGATGGCAAATTTTGACGTTTTCGTCATTTAATATCAACGAAATAGTCTGTATACAGAGAGTTAACAGATATAATGTTAGTTATATTTCATTGATCAAGTTGATGAAGAAATTATTAATATTTCAGGACATGAAATATAGCATAAGAGTTAAAACAACAGATTCAAGAATAACCTTCAAAATCAATTATTTTCATGGATGAAATCTTCATTAAAACAGTTGACTTATCACCAAATATTAAAAAAGTCATATTACAAATAATTATACATTTACCCATGACAACATGAAAACACCAACACTGACAAGGACAACAAATTACCATATATGGTCATATCAAGATTATGTATATTGTACAATGATACCATATATGGTCATATCAAGATAATGTAGAAAGTACAATGTAGAGAACAATGTTTTTCCCATATATAGGAAAAAAGACCTTGTGGACAACTACCAAGGTTTCCATGACAACAGTACAGACATGCTCACAAGCCAGGCCAGATATAGGCCAATAACAGAGTTCACAATCTGAGAGGCCAGATATAGGCCAATAACAGAGTTCACAATCTGAGAGGCCAGATAGAGGTCAAATTCACACAGGTGCGAAAATGAAGAGAGGGAGATGACAGATTTGATAGATAGATATATATATGATGCACAGAGTATATGACAACATCATGTGATCAGACCAGGTACAGTCACATGACGTTCGTAACCATGGTAACCACACTGTCTTCATAGTAACACTGCATGGGCATGCTCAGACGGATGTGTACGCACCTCTTGACACCTCTCGTTTGGTTTTGTGACTTTACCATCCGATGCTTCGACCCCCTCAGACTGAAAGTGAACTCTCCTCTGTTTGGGGCTGACGGATGAAACCGCTTTCTGTTGGGCAAGTTCAGGGTACAGTTCATATAGGAAGTGAATATAAGCTATTGTATTTAGACTCGGGCACCATAGGATTGCTGTATTTTATTTGTTTTTATTTTGTAAAAAAATACTAAAAAAAAGAAATCTGTAACTATATACAAATTAAAACAGCATGCAAATAATTTAATCTGCTGTGTGAGAAATGTTACGATTTACCAATCAGGAGATTCAATGAATAGCTGTAAGATTATTCTCTATGACAACTGGCAGTCATCATAGCAACATCCACCAAAAGCATGCATTTGCACACGATGTCAAAGAACTATGGTGTGTCCTGGTTATTTCTTTGCCTTCTTCACCAGTGCATGCTGTGCCGTGTCCTCTGACGGTGTTACACCAGCTGGCATTTTTGAGGGGAGATTGCAGTGAAGCATGGCCGTGTGTGCAGGAAGTGTTTTACATAGTGTAGACATCAATCATTATCCATGGAAAGAGGTTTCTAATTCTTGATACCATGTGACAAAAATACTTGATTGAATGAGAAAAAAATCATTATCAATGAAGTGTTTTGAACATCATTACAGTGCAAGACTATTTCAAACATTCAAACGATAATCTCAAGTGATCTTGTAGCAAGATACGGACTAATGAATCCAATTAATCTTACCCTAATTAGTTTGCCATATAGAAAATAGTTATTTTAAGTCTGTTTCCTTTTATCTTTAAAAAGAGTAAATGTCTTTCTATCCATTTTGAGAAATATTTTTGCAAAGCCAAAAATCTTTTTGAAGACACATTACAATACCCGGAGTCGTCCAGCTTTTTGCGTCATAAAAGGCATGTCTTAGTTTTTAGTCTGCCCTTTCACCCCTATGTAACTTTAATACACTCTGCCATGCACTGATCTGGGTAAGTCCAATATGGTCTATAGTGGTGAAAGGGTTGAAATAGTAACTGGTGTCTAGTACATTAAAGCTATTTAATGTAACGTCACAAAATCTACTCTAACGAAGAAATTTTAAACGTTCAATGAACATTTTTACGAGTATTTTCAAAAGCTGACTGCTTCATGCAAAATGCAAGCACAAGTATCTTTAAAACATCCTAAAACTTAACCAAAATACTTCAAAATTGAAACCACATGCAAAAAAAAAAAAGAGTAAAATTATTAGCCACAACTGGATGGAATTAAATTCAATAAAGACTTGACCATTTTAAGCTATTTGAAAACATATCTTCTGCTAAATTCAAAGCCACAAGTCTCTACATTCTTCATGCAGTTGCTGTAAGTATTGTATCAAACTATAAAAACATCAGGCAGTCCTGACCAGTCCTTAAGGATCCCTGTCCCACTACACTGACCAGTCCTTAAGGATCTCTGTCCAACTACACTGACCAGTCCTTAAGGATCCCTGTCCCACTACACTGACCAGCCCTTAAGGATCTCTGTCCCACTTCACTGACCAGTCCTTAAGGATCCCTGTCCCACTACACTGACCAGTCCTTAAGGATCTCTGTCCCACTACACTGACCAGTCCTTATGGATCCCTGCCCCACTACACTGACCAGTCCTTAAGGATCCCTGGCCCACTACACTGACCAGTCCTTAAGGATCCCTGCCCCACTACACTGACCAGTCCTTAAGGATCCCTGTCCCCCTACACTGACCAGTCCTTAAGGATCCCTGCCCCATTACACTGACCAGTCCTTAAGTATCCCTGTCCCACTACACTGACCAGTCCTTAAGGATCCCTGTCCCACTACACTGACCAGTCCTTAAGGATCCCTGTCCCACTATACTGACCAGTTCTTAAGTATCCCTGTCCCACTACACTGACCAGTCCTTAAGGATCCCTGCCCCATTACACTGACCAGTTCTTAAGGATCCCTGCCCCATTACACTGACCAGTTCTTAAGTATCCCTGTCCCACTACACTGACCAGTCCTTAAGGATCCCTGCCCTACTACACTGACCAGTCCTTAAGGATCCCTGTCCCACTACACTGACACGTCCTTAAGGATCCCTGTCCCACTACACTGACCAGTCCTTCAGGATCCCTGTCCCACTACACTGACAAGTCCTTAAGGATCCCTGCCCCACTACACTGACCAGTCCTTAAGGATCCCTGCCCCACTACACTGACCAGTTCTTACGGATCCTTGTCCCACTACACTGACCAGTCCTTAAGGATCCCTGCCCCACTACACTGACCAGTCCTTAAGGATCCCTATCCCACTACATTGTAGTTTTTCCTATATACAGTTACCTCCCCTTAACTTCCTCTTGGCTATATAACTGTAGCACAGTTTGACCAGGACACTTCTGTAGTTCAAAGTGTTTAAAGTGACAGTATAACAATCTGAAGTCCAGGGTTCAAATCCAGGTCTAGCCCTGCTGATATTTTACACCCAAATTATTTATTTTGTTTATTTCATCTTTATTATTTCCTGTAATGTCCTGCCGCAAGGTATGGTTTTCTTTTCAGAAAGGATTTATCAAAGCTAAAGTCATGTGTAAAGGACGTTTCCAACTCAGAGTAACAGCGGTACAGGGATCTTTAAGACAAACCAGTACTTCAAACAGTAAACTTTTTTTTTTTAGAAATGATACATTTACTGTAATCGAATGTGCGATCCAACTCTACTGAGAATTTGGTCACTGTAGTTTTCTAAGCCAAAACTGATAAGTACTAAAAATACAATAACTGAAGAAGCAAAACATTATTTTACTAAAGAGAAAATCTTGAATTTCTCAAAAAATGAAAAGAAATCAATCAATTTTCAAATCAAATGTCTAAAGAAAACACATCCAAAATAACAAACCAAAAACTAGAAAACATTAAATACATACCACTTCCGACTCCTCCACCTCCAACTCCTGTAACACTTGACCTTTGACCTTTGACCTTTCATCTCCTTCACTATTCCACGTGGAATTTTTTTGAATATCATTGTAATTTGTCACTGTTGTTGATATGTGATCTTGATTCTGTGGTTTACTGTGGTGACCTTGACCCCCCTTGACGGGTGAAGGTCTTGCACTGTCACCATGGTAACTGTCCGAGTTTGTTGGTCCGCGTTCACTGTCGCTGTTGTAAGGGTTTTCCAGAGCACTAGTGTACGACGTCTCAGTACTGCTTGTCGTGATCACAGTGACCTTTGACCTCGCAGGGGAGAGAGACACCGGTGATGCCTGAATGTCCTTGTCCAGCTCAGCTTGAAAAGCTTGATCTACAACAGAAGAACGATTACAAAGTATGGTAAAGCGAGTACTGTATGAGAGAGAGAATGTATGACACATTCAGTACTGTATCAGAGAGGGAATGTATGACACGTACAGTACTGTATCAGAGAGAGAATGTATGACACGTAGAGTACTGTATCAGAGAGGGAATGTATGACACGTATAGTGCTGTATCAGAGAGAGAATGTATGACACGTACAGTACTGTATCAGAGAGAGAATGTATGACATGTACAGTACTGTATCAGAGAGGGAATGTATGACACGTACGGTACTGTATCAGAGAGAGAATGTATGACACGTACAGTACTGTATCAGAGATAGAAATGTATACAGTACTGTATACATTTCTATCTCTGATACAGTACTCTACGTGTCATACATTACTTATAATGTCATACACATTCCTTATAAAGTCATATACATTACTTATGTCATATACAACACTTATAATGTCATACTATGAGAGAGAGAATGTATTACACGTACAGTACTGAATCAGGGAGGGAATGTATGACACGTACAGTACTGTATCAGAGAGGGAATGTATAACACGTACAGTACTGTATAGGAGAGGGAATGTATGACACGTACAGTACTGTATCAGAGAGGGAATGTATGACACGTACAGTACTGAATCAGGGAGAGAATGTATGACACGTACAGTATAGGAGAGAGAATGTATGACACGTACAGTACTGTATCAGAGAGGGAATGTATGACACGTAAAGTACTGAATCAGGGAGAGAATGTATGACACGTACAGTACTGTATCCGAGAGGGAATGTATGACACGTACAGTACTGTATCAGAGAGGGAATGTATGACACATACCGTACTGTATCAGAGAGGGAATGTATGACACGTACAGTACTGTATCAGAGAGAGAATGTATGACACGTACAGTACTGTATCAGAGAGGGAATGTATGACACGTACAGTACTGTATCAGAGAGGGAATGTATGACACGTACAGTACTGTATCAGAGAGGGAATGTATGACACGTACAGTACTGTATCAGAGAGGGAATGTATGACACGTACAGTACTGTATCAGAGAGGGAATGTATGACACGTACAGTACTGTATCAGAGAGGGAATGTATGACACGTACAGTACTGTATCAGAGAGGGAATGTATGACACGTACAGTACTGTATCAGAGAGGGAATGTATGACACGTACAGTACTGTATCAGAGAGGGAATGTATGACACGTACAGTACTGTATCAGAGAGGGAATGTATGACACGTACAGTACTGTATCAGAGAGGGAATGTATGACACGTACAGTACTGTATCAGAGAGGGAATGTATGACACGTACAGTACTGTATCAGAGAGGGAATGTATGACACGTACAGTACTGTATCAGAGAGGGAATGTATGACACGTACAGTACTGTATCAGAGAGAGAATGTATGACACGTACAGTACTGTATCAGAGAGAGAATGTATGACACGTACAGTACTGTATAGGAGAGAGAATGTATAACACGTACAGTACTGTATCAGAGAGAGAATGTATGACACGTACAGTACTGTATCAGAGATAGAAATGTATGACACGTACAGTACTGTACAGCTAAAGGTATATATCGGGTCACCTGCACATGCCCGGCCACGTGGGTTTTCTCCTTATATTCTGAATTCCTCCCACATTAAGACTTCCACAGCACTAATATTCTGGCCAACAAGAGTAATTAATATAGGTTGTAAAAATTTGTTTGATAATTGTCAAAAAAATATTTTTGATTTCTATATGTATATTTATACTCGGTACAGATAAGAGTTACCTATGTCGCTGTAACAACTCGGACTAGACGGGGTGTAGCTCGGCGTTCCTTCGGTGTAGTCAGTATGTGTGGGCGTCGACTCGGAGATGCTGAGGGGCGGGGAGGTTCGCATCACCGGGGAGGTGTGAGACAGAGAAGTACTGGACTCCTGGTAGGTTACTTGGAATGTACCGCTCACCTGGGCTTCAGGTCTGAAACGTCATGTACATTACGTCATAAACATTACTTATAATGCCATATAAAACACTTATAATGTCATACACATTACTTATAAAGTCATATACATTACTTATAATGTCATATACAACACTTATGTCATACATTACTTATAATGTCATATACATTACTTATAAAGTCATATACATTACTTATAATGTCATATACAACACTTATAATGTCATATACAACACTTATAAAGTCATATACATTACTTATAATGTCATATGCATTACTTATAAAGTTATATACATTACTTATAATGTCATATACATTACTTATAAAGTCATATACAACACTTATAAGTAATGTATATGACATTGTAAGTGTTGTATATGACAATATAAGTAATGTATACAACAGTATAAGTAATGTATAGACATTATAAGTAATATATATGACTTTATAATGTCATATACATGCCTTATAATGTCATATACAACACTTATAATATCATATACAACACTTATGTCATACATTACTTATAAGGTCATATACAACGCTTATAATGTCATATACATGCCTTATAATGTCATATACACCACTTATAATGTCATATGCATTACTTATAATGTCATATACATTACTTATAATGTCATATACATGACTTATAATGTCATATACATTACTTATAATGTTGTATACATTACTTATAAAGTCATATACATTACTTATAATGTCATATACAACACTTATAATATTCCTACCTGTACTCCATTCTCTACCTATCCCCATGTAAAACTCCCACCTCGTTCCTACCTGTACTCCTCTCTCTCCCTATCCCCATGAAAAACTCCGACCTCGTTCCTACCTGTCCTCCACTCTCTACCTACCCCAATGACCTGTACTCCACACCCTACCTATCCCCATGTAAAACTCCCACCTTGTTCCTACCTGTACTCCTCTCTCTCCCTATCCCCATGAAAAACTCCGACCTCGTTCCTACCTGTACTCCTCTCTCTCCCTATCCCCATGAAAAACTCCGACCTCGTTCCTACCTGTCCTCCACTCTCTACCTCCCCCCATGTAAAACTCCCACCTCGTTCCTACCTGTCCTCCACTCTCTACCTCCCCCCATGTAAAACTCCCACCTCGTTCCTACCTGTCCTCCACTCTCTACCTCCCCCCATGTAAAACTCCCACCTCGTTCCTACCTGTCCTCCACTCTCTACCTCCCCCCATGTAAAACTCCCACCTCATTCCTACCTGTACTCCATTCTCTACCTATCCCCATGTAAAACTCCGACCTCGTTCCTACGTGTACTCCACTCTCTACCTACCCCAATGACCTGTACTCCACACCCTACCTATCCCCATGTAAAACTCCCACCTCGTTCCTACTTGTACTCCACTCTCTACCTATCCCCATGTAAAACTCCGACCTCGTTCCTACCTGTCCTCCACTCTCTACCTACCCCAATGACCTGTACTCCACACCCTACCTATCCCCATGTAAAACTCCGACCTCGTTCCTACGTGTACTCCACTCTCTACCTACCCCAATGACCTGTACTCCACACCCTACCTATCCCCATGTAAAACTCCCACCTCGTTCCTACTTGTACTCCACTCTCTACCTACCCCAATGACCTGTACTCCACACCCTACCTATCCCCATGTAAAACTCCGACCTCGTTCCTACCTGTCCTCCACTCTCTACCTCCCCCCATGTAAAACTCCCACCTCGTTCCTACTTGTACTCCACTCTCTACCTACCCCAATGACCTGTACTCCACACCCTACCTATCCCCATGTAAAACTCCCACCTTGTTCCTACCTGTACTCCATTCTCTACCTATCCCCATGTAAAACTCCGACCTCGTTCCTACCTGTCCTCCACTCTCTACCTACCCCAATGACCTGTACTCCACACCCTACCTATCCCCATGTAAAACTCCCACCTCGTTCCAACCTGTACTCCACTCTCTACCTACCATATACATTACTTATATCATATACAACACTTATAATATTCCTACCTGTACTCCACTCACTACCTACCCCCATGTAAATTATAATGTCATATAAAACACTTATAATGCCATATACAACACTTATAATATCATATACAACACTTATAATATTCCTACCTGTACTCCATTCTCTACCTATCCCCATGTAAAACTCCCACCTTGTTCCTACCTGTACTCCTCTCTCTCCCTATCCCCATGAAAAACTCCGACCTCGTTCCTACCTGTCCTCCACTCTCTACCTACCCCAATGACCTGTACTCCACACCCTACCTATCCCCATGTAAAACTCCCACCTCGTTCCTACCTGTCCTCCACTCTCTACCTACCTTCATGTAAAACTCCCATCTCATTCCTACCTGTACTCCACTCACTACCTACCCCCATGTAAAACTCCCACCTCGTTCCTACCTGTCCTCCACTCTCTACCTCCCCCCATGTAAAACTCCCACCTCGTTCCTACCTGTCCTCCACTCTCTACCTCCCCCCATGTAAAACTCCCACCTCGTTCCTACTTGTACTCCACTCTCTACCTACCCCAATGACCTGTACTCCACACCCTACCTACCCCCATGTAAAACTCCCACCTTGTTCCTACCTGTACTCCTCTCTCTCCCTATCCCCATGAAAAACTCCGACCTCGTTCCTACCTGTCCTCCACTCTCTACCTCCCCCCATGTAAAACTCCCACCTTGTTCCTACCTGTACTCCACTCACTACCTACCCCCATATACATTACTTATAAAGTCATATAGAACACTTATGTCATATACATTACTTATAAAGTCATATACATTACTTATGTCATATACAACACTTATAATGTCATATACATTACTTATAATGTCATATACAACACTTATAATGTCATATACATTACTTATAATGTCATATACAACACTTATGTCATATACATTACTTATGTCATATGCATTACTTATAATGTCATATACAACACTTATAATGTCATATACATTACTTATAAAGTCATATACAACACTTATGTCATATACATTACTTATGTCATATACAACACTTAATAATGTCATATACAACACTTATAATGTCATATACATTACTTATAAAGTCATATACAACACTTATGTCATATACATTACTTATGTCATATACAACACTTAATAATGTCATATACAACACTTATAATGTCATATACAACACTTATAATATTCCTACCTGTACTCCATTCTCTACCTATCCCCATGTAAAACTCCCACCTCGTTCCTACCTGTACTCCACTCTCTACCTACCTTCATGTAAAACTCCCATCTCATTCCTACCTGTACTCCACTCTCTACCTATCCCCATGTAAAACTCCGACCTCGTTCCTACCTGTACTCCACTCTCTACCTACCCCAATGACCTGTACTCCACACCCTACCTATCCCCATGTAAACTCCCACCTCGTTCCTACCTGTGTTCCACTCTCTACCTATCCCCATGTAAAACTCCCACCTCGTTCCTACCTGTACTCCACTCTCTACCTACCCCCATGTAAAACTCCCACCTTGTTCCTACCTGTACTCCACTCACTACCTACCCCCATGTAAAACTCCCACCTCGTTCCTACCTGTACTCCACTCTCTACCTACCTCCTACCCTCATTTATACTCTCGCCAGAGGGCGACACAGACTTCGGAGAATGAGATATGTCGGTCCTACTGCGCTCTCTCTTTGGTGTCAGAGAGCCCACCGCCTCGTCAAATGTTGGGGGTGGTGTGGAATTTTCTGGCAGTAGATCGGGCCGGCCCCCTGTTGTGCCTAGAAATATAGGAGAGAGTGTAAAGTATTCTCAAACATTTGTGTACAACAAGCTGCACGGTCTGATCTGAAATTTGCTCAGGCAGTTAACAAGACATGAATGCCCCGGCCCCTTGACCATGTGGTTGACCTGTAAGTAGCCAGGGAAAGTGATCTTGGCATTGAACTTGGGACCCTGGTATACTAACTCATCCGAGATATTTTCACATTTATGAAAAATACAGTATCCTCCCTCCATCTTAGTTTTTTTTTTATATAACTATAGTACAATTGGGACAGGACACTTCCATTGACCGGGTAGCTCTATTGGTTAGAGCGATAGTAAACAAGCTGATGTCCCATTTTTGAATCCAGTCTTGCCCAGCTGTCTAGCCCAGCTGAAGTCTTTTCCATTCAGAACACTGTTGTCGATTAAATTTGTTTATTTCATAGTTACTATTTCTCATAAAATCCTGCAAGGTATGGTTTTCTTTCAGAAATTGTTTATCAAAGCTATAGTCATGCCATAAAATCAGTTTCCAATACGGGACACGACGCAATGGGACGAGACAGACAGAGTAACAATATATCTCTCTCCCAACAAAATGGAGAGTGTGTGATAAACATTAAACTAGAACACAGACAGGTCTGCAAGGACCCCGCCACGTGCCTGACTGACCCTCCCACCCCACAGTTTCTTAATCTCCGAAAAGGAAACTGTGGAGGGATGGGAAAAGACAGACAGGCGGACACCGGAATTTCTAGGGCACCCGCATCTCCTGTGAGGGCCCTAATAAGTGTAGCCTGATACACACCTGGAATGGGTGTTGTGTCTTCTGTAAAACTAATGGTTCTATGTGACCTTTCTGTGACCGTTGTCCTCCTCGGAACTTCCGTAATACCCTCGGACTCTGACTGACCAGACGACTTCTTAGGACCACCTGGCTTCCTCTTAGAAGGAGAGTGCTTCAAGGCTGTGAAAAGATTTTTTTTTTAATTAAATTACAATTTCAGACAGTTTTAAATCACAGGTAAGGCTTTATATTTACATCTATTTAGTTTTTTTGGGGCTCAATAAATGAACGTTTTTCATTTAAGAATCCAAATGATAAGAAAAATCTCATATTTTACAGAAAATAGAGATTTTCTTTGAATGTAATATACAGTTACAATTTCTTAATTTCTTGGGGGGGGGGGGGGGGATATTTTTGATATATTTGTAAAGGTGTGAATTTTGAAATTGTCAAAATATATATATATACATGTATCTGCATCTCTTTATAAAAATCTGAATCTTTTATGGACTCACATTGTGAATAAACATGAAAGTTTCTTAGGAAATAAACTCAAAGTATTCGATCTGATGTAGCTACCAAGAATTATATTATCTAACTTTTGACAAAAGGTCCTACAGAGTCTAGTGGGACCGATTTTATTTTATTTTCTCTGGAAGGGTATTAAATTCAACTTCAGTATTCACGCTGACTCAATAGAAAACATTAAGTTAAAACTGTTCTTTTTGCTATAACTCACGTAGATATATATATAACAAGACTTCAAGATCACCTGGTATTGTGCATGTGGAATATTATGATATGGAACTAAACATTCCAAATCTACTATTTAGATAACCTGATAATATTTTATATTCTATGAAAGAGAAAATTTCATCAAATAGGCCTTAACCAGAAATATTTATATCATATTATATTTTTTCCATATCAAGCTCCAAATAAACCTTTCTTCTTCAAATATGGGACTGAAAGGTTGTTTGGCAAATCGACAGGACAAGGCTGACTCCATTACAGTATATCTTACAATCCCACATTTAACCCTTTCACCACTGTAGACCGTAGTGGACTCATCCAGATCAATGCATGGGAGAGTCTACTTAAGTTACATAGGGTTAAAAGGGTTTAAGAAAAACGGTCTACCACAATCTACATTTTTCAATAATTAAAATATCAAAACTATTTTACTTTCCAAAATTGTCGTTTCTTACCAGCTTTTTAACTATTTTCTACCCCAGTTATTAGTTACCAGCTTTTTAACTATTTTCTACCCCAGTTATTAGAAACAGTATTTATAAGGGAGATAATCTGCACAAAAACATTAAACTCATAGTAACATAATATCATTGACATTAATAAACTGAAGATAGCAGAACACAGAGCCATGAAGCCAAGCAGAACACAGATAGCTCTACAGTGCAGCAAGTGAAACAGTTCCTCAAACCCAGCCAAAAATATTGATTTAGCCCATCGCATTCCCCAGACCCCACCTATTCCGTCTTTACGTTGCAGAGTTATCTTCTCTTGTGAGCAGGTATTGATTGTTACGTCATTGGTTTGTGTGAGAAAATTACGACGTTTTCTCAAAAATTGATGACGTTCCTCTCACAAACAAATGACATAACAATCAATACCTGCTCACAAGAGAAGATAACTCTGCATTACAAAAAGATGGAATAAATACAAACAAATCTTATATCTTATATTTAATAATTAATTACAAAATAAAGACATTTTATAGTAATCACTACAAAATGAAAATTGAAAATAGATTCTTATATATAAAATCTTAGGTCTGTATTGACAAATTAGACACAGATATTAAGCATGACTCTTTATGATCACAATATTTCAGAAAAACACGGCTAAATTGGGCCAATTTATAAACTTGACACTCACTCCCTTATTTTATTTAGGGAAATGATGTCTGTACTGTAAAACTTTGACATTTGTACTCAAATTAAAAGCAGAATCACATACTTTATCTTTTTTTTTTCTTTTAATCTGCCATTTTTTTCACTTTCATGCAGGAATTGTAATACATTTGTATTAAATATTTGACATACTGCTCCTCAGTATAATAACAAGTTACACAAGTCTGTTCTAACTCAAGGTGCATAACTCCAGGACTCAGTATTATCCAAGGGCCCATATAACTAACTCAGTATCATCTAAGTGCACACAACTGTGGTAATATCCAAGGGAACATAAGTGCAATATATAAGGGCACATAACTCTGTATTATCTATGGGCACATTATTCTTTACTATCTAAGGGCACATAACCCTGTACTATCATAGGGCACAGAACTCTTTACTATACAAGGGCACTTAAATCTGTTTTATCTAAGGGCACATAACTCTTTTCTATATAAGGACGCATAAGTATGCATTATCTAAGGGCACAAAACTTTATACTAAGGCATATACTCAATATTAGTAAACAAGTGCACAGCAAAATAAACTGCAGGAGCTTAACTCTGTTCTAAGGGCACATAACTCTGTACTAACTAAGGGCACATAACTACATACTAATCACCAAGTGCACAACCTAGAACTAACTACAGGTGCATTAATCTATACTGAGAGTGCATAACTCTGTTCTTAAGTATATAATTCTGTACATAATTCTGTACCAAGGGCACATAACTCTGTTCTAAGGGTACACAACTCTTTACCAACTCTGTGCTAAGCTACATAACACTGTGCTTATTAAGTGAAAATGATGCTGTTATAAATCTTTATACTGTTGCAAATAACGCTGCCTATCAAGACCACTCAAGTATGCTAAACAAGGGCAGATAACTGTATTATTCAAAGGCAGATAACTCTGTAACAACAATGAATAAACAAAGTTCTCTGTTCTTAGCTACAATTGTTTATCACTCAATATTAATTTTGATGAAATTAAAAATAAAATACCTGTCGTATATTATGAAAAGATTGCTTTTGTAACCGTAATGTTTCAAGCGAATGTCCGCAACCCCTAACTGGTTTGTTTTTATGATAAATATATAAACTTAATGATACATCATTATTATTATGAAATACCTAAAACCCCACAAAAAGAATGTCCATTTGTAAGGAAGAATTCAATGGTCCACAAGAAACTCAATATTTTTCATTTCTTCGAAGCACTAAAATGAGATATGCATAAATATTCTGCATTTGTTTGCCCAGACTTCCCATGGAATTAGGCCAGTCTTATGATATTGGAATTTCTCAAAGTTTATATTTTTAAGTTAGGATGGGGCCTTTTTGTCTCATTTTGGAATTAAGGCAAAATAAAAAATTGTTTCAATTGGGAATGGGGCCTATAATCGGCCCAATAAAAAGGTTCCCAGAAAAAGCACTGTTATCATATTACATTTTTCTGAAGTTAGTTCATCAAACTTTAATTTCAATCATCATTATATATCTTCTAAAACACAAACTTTTGGCCAGATTTGTAATGCTTATCCTACTCCTGTATTGTTATAATTATTCAGACTAACAATATATAGATCACATCAATGCTATAAACAAGCCTCTCTACAATCTATCCTAAGCAAAGCATTGAATTCTGCTGTATTTGTGACGACAAAGAAGAAATATCTAAAAACACATTGCAAAAATCAAAATATCCGTGTATTTGTGACGACAGCATTTATACAAAAACTCAAAATTGTAGCTTAGCAAACTGCANAAAAAAAAAAAAAAAAAAAAAAAAAAAAAAAAAAAAAAAATAATCCAAACAAACCCATGTAGCAAATAAACGAGAAAATCGTAGCTAATTCAACAGATTACTATGGTGACAAAAACGTTACCAAAGTTACCTAGTTTGACAATTTTGCGGAATCGTTGTGTGCCTCTTGGAGGATCCACTGATATTAGCAAAGCACAAAATAGAAAGAACAACAAATAAGAAGAAACCTAACCTTCTCTCCCCTATAAACACAAGTTCAAATGTCCCTTACAAAATACTGGTCTAGTCCATTGTCAGGATTAAGGGGTTAAATGACGAGGATACTCATTCATTTAGATTTCAATTCAAAATGTTCTCTAATTCATTTGTTACATTTAAAATTTTCTTTTAACTTATTTTTTTCTGTATTCCTTGACTTTTCGATTTAATTGAAAAGATTTCATTTAATTAATTCCAATTTTAATTACATCAAAAATTTCATCCAGCAACATCAGTGAAATGAGGATGATTATGTTATCAGTTCTTCTCAAATATTCGCTATAATTTTGTAATAATTTCAAATATTGGATAAAATAAGCAAACAAAAGTGTGAAATATTTGTGTTTCTATTCTTTTTTTACTTAAAGTGGATAACCACCGGGAAGAAACGTTACAAGGGTTATAGTCCTTTCTAGAAAAGTATTTAGCAATGTCACCTATAGTTAAGTCAGATTCATATAGGAGAAATGTTACAAGGGTTATAGTCCTTTCTAGAAAAATATTTAGCAATGTCACCTATAGTTAAGTCAGATTCATATAGGAGAAATGTTACAAGGGTTATAGTCCTTTCCAGAAAAGTATTTAGTTACCTATATTTAGCCAGATCAAAAAAAGGAGGATAAAATATGCATTATGTTTAATCAATAACTCTTTTTTTTTTAATTTTAAATGTCTATGTTACATTACGGATGTATATAAGTTTGTATTGAGAAGATTTCTTTCCCTAGATATATATTTGAAATTATTAGGATATATGTCACGGCATGAAAATTACAGCAGAGGTAATCTTGCACCTAAGACAGAGATAACACATGAGAAACCATGTTCTACATTTTTCTATCTTGTCTGACCTGTCTGGCACTTTCTGCAACATTTTGCTTAATTTCATCGATAAGTTTATCTGCACATACAATTTTTGTCGGAACAGTGTGGGAATTGGCAAACAATTGCTTTGCACACAGATACCACATTTAATGCTTAGTGTTGTTAAATCTTCTTTGCAAGGACAGATGATGTAGCTTTAGTAGTGAAAAGGCCATAACAAAACTATACCCCTCAGTAATGGGACGTGTCAAAATTATGAAACGGATTGTCAGGTCTCGTTTGAATAAATTCTACAAAAAAATCACTGAATCATTAGGTAATAGTTAGAGATCTATTTTGTCTGATATCACATTCAACTCATAATTACTGATCATAAAACGTACGTTTGGCACCAAGTCTACTAAGAACTAATAAATAAATGATTGATCATTTTATAGGGATTAAAATACATGAAATGTGTTACAGGGTGTTAACCCTTTCAATCCTATGTAATTTAAGTAGACTCTACCATTCATTGATCTGGATGAGTCCATTATGGTCTACAGTGGTGAAAGAGTTTTAATACCCATTGCTGCAGCAGAAATAAAACAAATCAAAATCAAAACACAAGTTCATGTAGAATCGGCGTCATGTATGAAAGAAGAAATACAGACAAGACAGAGAAGAGATGAGACAGCAATAATTAATTATTATTTTGATTAATTGTTGACTTTATAATTAACACAAGATTTTACCAATAATCAAACGATAAAAATTTGACAGCATAGGGAAAGTTATAGAGCAAGATGAGTACCTATCAGTGGATACAGTTATTAGATTGTGTAAGGGAATTACATTGCAGTTGAAAATGACTGTTGCAGAATATCTTCAATACCATGTGTTAGAACTGTTATACATAATAATAAATATTACATGTAGAATAATTTTGTAAAAATATTTTGCGTCTTAAAAAAAAATAAAAAAAATCCTTTCTAGGTAAACATCTTAAATTAATTTTAAATAAGTTAAATGTCAATTTATTTCATTACACAAGGGTTTTGGTTTTAAGGTTTTCCATTTAATTTTTAAAAAAAAATTGGCAAAAACTTACAAACATTTCTACACAATAAATTACAAATGTCATTACTTCAGTGCATCAAGGACAAGAAAAAAAATTCTGTTTAAAAAAATAACTGTTGACAAGAAAAAAGTAATTTTACAATGAATAAATAGGAATCAAATCTTAATCTACAACATATACCCAGATATCCATCAATGTGCTATCCTAATATTCTAATTAAGAACCAAAGAATTCTGTACAAGGGAGACAACTCACAACCAGAAACAACATTAAAGAAAAGTAGTGTTTTGATAAATCTATGAATAAGAAAAAGAAATTAACATTTTGCTAAAAAAGCGAAAAATGAGTTAAATTAACAGCAAGAGTAATTAAATAAGGAATCACATATCTAAACAATCAGTAGTGTTATCTACGAAAATAAATCAATAAAATCAATATGTAAGAAACACGGAAAAACTTTCAATAAATTAAAAATGCAAAAGTGTATCAATCAAATGTCAGCTACTACGTTAGATTAAAACAAAACTCAATGCATGAAATACTTTAAGACTTAATTCAAAAATGGAAACAACTGCGTCGTAAGACAACATCACAAACAAGACAAGCTAAATCTATATTTAGATTCGCAAAATAACAGGAAAAGCGTGAGTGAATACAACAAATCTCACGGACATTCGGACAAGTACAAAAGAGACACGGACGTAACACATAACAAATGATGATACTAGACAGAGTAATAAAAACTTACGTGTCTGTAGCTTTCTAAAAACACGCTTTTCGAAAAAGGTCTGGAATCTTTGGGAATAGTAGCTAGGGCGATGTACTGATATAGTGTCCTGTTAAAATAAAACATGCTCATCATCAATATCAAACTGTTGTAGATACATTTCTACTGAACTTGGACTCAACAATATACTTATTAAAGTACATTTCTACTGAATATGGATTTTCATAATGAACTATTCCAACCTTTGAATTGGGGGAGTTCAAATGTGTCTTCAGGGGTGTATCAGTTAAGGGGACATTGAAGAAGCTAAGAATAGACCTGCTGTATCCCGTATGTATTGTATGTGTCGTTGATTGTCTTCTGTGTCTAAGACAGAAATAAAATAAAGAATAGAGAAAGTACGGGGAAATAGACCTGCTGCATCCCGTATGTACTGTATGTGTCGTTGATTGGCTTCTGTGTCTAAGAAAGAAATAAAATAAAGAATACAGAAAGTACGAGGAAATAGACCAGCTGTATCCCGTATGTACTGTATGTGTCGTTGATTGTCTTCTGTGTCTAAGACAGAAATAAACTGAAGAATAGAGAAAGTACGAGGAAATAGACCTGCAGTATCCCGTATGTAGTGTATGTGTCGTTGATTGTCTTCTATGTCTTACATCAGACAGAGATAAAATAAAGAGTACAGAAAGTACGAGGAAATATACCTGCTTTATCTGTATGTATTGTATGTGTCGTTGATTGTCTTCTGTGTCTTACATCAGACAGAGATAAAATAAAGCGTACAGAAAGTACGAGGAAATAGACCAGCTGTATCCCGTATGTAGTGTATGTGTCGTTGATTGTCTTCTGTGTCTAAGACAGAAATAAAATAAAGAATACAGAAAGTACGAGGAAATAGCCCTGCTGTATCCCGTATGTAGTGTATGTGTCGTTGATTGTCTTCTATGTCTTACATCAGACAGAGATAAAATAAAGCGTAAAGAAAGTACGAGGAAATAGACCAGCTGTATCCCGTATGTAGTGTATGTGTCGTTGATTGTCTTCTATGTCTTACATCAGACAGAGATAAAATAAAGCGTAAAGAAAGTACGAGGAAATAGACCAGCTGTATCCCGTATGTAGTGTATGTGTCGTTGATTGTCTTCTATGTCTTACATCAGACACAGATAAAATAAAGAATACAGAAAGTACGAGGAAATTCAACAGACCAAAATTGAACTGCTGCCCATATTGCAACACTCTTTGCCTTCTACATACTTTCTGTTTCGGGCATTGTCGCCCTAGGCACCCATCCTCATACGACCTTTGATGTTGCGAGGAGGTTAAACAGCAAACAAAGCCTACTAAAGTGTATGAGGGTTATGTTTGTGTATGAATACATCACCAAATTGCAGGAATTAGTCCTATGTAAGGATTATAGTTAAAAAGCTGGTAAGAAACGACAATTTTGGAAAGTAAAATGGTTTTGATATTTTAATTATTGAAAAATGTAGATTGTGGTAGACCGTTTTTCTTAAACCCTTTTAACCCTATGTAACTTAAGTAGACTCTCCCATGCGTTGATCTGGATGAGTCCACTACGGTCTACAGTGGTGAAAGGGTTAAATGTGGGATTGTAAGATATACTGTAATGGAGTCAGCCTTGTCCTGTAAGGATTATTATACCTCAACAGAACAGGATTCAATCCATAAATACACAAGGATTACAACTGCAACTGCAATTACAAGATATATTTACCAGGAATATAAACTGTACTATTTAACAGGTGATGTGTTAAATAGTATGTAGCAGGACTGGACTGGACCAGATCGTAGCTCAATTAGAAGAACATCCGTCTAAAAGTTCAGAGGGTCCCAGGTTTGAAGCCCGGTCTGGTCGTCACATTTATCTTTCTCCTATTACAGAATTGGGGGGGGGGGCTTGCCGGCCCTTGATTCAAGCAATGGGTGAATGCTTGTCAGGGATGTCCAAAGTTTGGTTGTAAATAGTATTGTCTTCAAGGGCAAAGACTTGAAGAAAGGAGGGAGAAATGTAGCTGAACTGGACTACGTTATTCACTGGCTATCATGTAGCTCAACCCGTAGTCTATATAGCTGGAGTTCTGAGGGTTCTGGGATTGAATCCCAGTTTTGCCTTTCATTTTTCCACTCTTACCATGAAGTCCAAACTAGAGGGCCGCTCTACAAATTGAGCCACCTGGTTGCCAACAAACGACCCAGTCCAGTTCTGCTAGAATTACGTCTAGTTGATGTCTTGATGATCTCAAGTTTTGATAATACAATGGACTTGTTTTCTATTGTTTTCCTGCTCAAAACACTGCATAAATAAAACTTTCAAGAAATGTAAACAGTGTATTGAAAATCAATGAAATGAAGACAACGTCACAATACTGTTCACCAGAAAAATTTTGTCCAATCAAATATTATCTTCACCAGTAAAATCCAGCTTTGTTCTGTGTAAATTATTACTGTATATAGTTGTTGTGTGCTATTATTCATAATAATAATCAATTCGCCTTCATTGTGGAGGATGAAAAATGCAAAAGTTAAATTGCAGAGAGAAATTTCAAAGTACACAGAAATTAATCTCTCTCTAGATTTCACACAACACTTTAAGACAGATCTCAAAAGCCATATTAAAAATTCCAAATAAAAAAAATTGTCTTTTTTTTTTTATGGTCATAGACTTACACATTTTTATGTTTCTTTTCATGATTCTGAAATTTTAACCATCAGTAGCAGTAAATGGAAACGAGATGACTGGTTGTTCTACACAGCCAATAACACATCCTATTATACTCACCCCATCTATAACTATGGATTTCATGGTGTGCTCAAATTTCTTCTTAAACCTGTAGCTCTGTAAAACGTCGATCACTCCCATGTACATCAGGACTCGCTCCCCTTTGGCGTTTTTAGCTGGTATACCACCAGGCCTACGACGCAAAACAGAAATTTACATACAGGTGATTTAAAATCCTTCAGTAATAAAACCTTATACTACAGGCTGGCATACCACCAGGCCTACGACGCAAAACAGAAATTTACATACAGCTGTAGCTCTGTAAAACGTCGATCACTCCCATGTACATTAGGACTCGCTCCCCTTTGGCGTTTTTAGCTGGTATACCACCAGGCCTACGACGCAAAACAGAAATTTACATACAGGTGATTTAAAATCCTTCAGTAATAAAGCCTTATACCACAGGACGACATACCACCAGGCCTACGACACAAAACAGAAATTTACATACAGGTGATTTAACATCCTTCAGTAATAAAACCTTATACCACAGGCCGACATACCACCAGGCCTACGACGCAAAACAGAAATTTACATACAGGGGATTTAAAATCCTTCAGTAATAAAACCTTATACTACAGGCTGGCATACCACCAGGCCTACGACGCAAAACAGAAATTTACATACAGCTGTAGCTCTGTAAAACGTCGATCACTCCCATGTACGTCAGGACTCGCTCCCCTTTGGCGTTTTTAGCTGGTATACCACCAGGCCTACGACGCAAAACAGAAATTTACATACAGGGGATTTAAAATCCTTCAGTAATAAAACCTTATACTACAGGCTGGCATACCACCAGGCCTACGACGCAAAACAGAAATTTACATACAGGCGATTTAAAATCCTTCAGTAATAAAACCTTATACCACAGGATGACATACCACCAGGCCTACGACACAAAACAGAAATTTACATATAGGTGATTAACATCCTTCAGTAATAAAACCTTATACTACAGGCTGGCATACCACCAGGCCTACGACGCAAAACAGAAATATACATACAGGTGATATAAAATCCTTCAGTAATAAAACCTTATACTACAGGCTGGCATACCACCAGGCCTACGACGCAAAACAGAAATTTACATACAGCTGTAGCTCTGTAAAACGTCGATCACTCCCATGTACGTCAGGACTCGCTCCCCTTTGGCGTTTTTAGCTGGTATACCACCAGGCCTACGACGCAAAACAGAAATTTACATACAGCTGTAGCTCTGTAAAACGTCGATCACTCCCATGTACGTCAGGACTCGCTCCCCTTTGGCGTTTTTAGCTGGTATACCACCAGGCCTACGACGCAAAACAGAAATTTACATACAGCTGTAGCTCTGTAAAACGTCGATCACTCCCATGTACATTAGGACTCGCTCCCCTTTGGCGTTTTTAGCTGGTATACCACCAGGCCTACGACGCAAAACAGAAATTTACATACAGCTGTAGCTCTGTAAAACGTCGATCACTCCCATGTACATTAGGACTCGCTCCCCTTTGGCGTTTTTAGCTGGTATACCACCAGGCCTACGACGCAAAACAGAAATTTACATACAGGAGATTTAAAATCCTTCAGTAATAAAACCTTATACCACAGGCCGACATACCACCAGGCCTACGACGCAAAACAGAAATATACATACAGGTGATATAAAATCCTTCAGTAATAAAACCTTATACTACAGGACGACATACCACCAGGCCTACGACGCAAAACAGAAAATTACATACAGGTGATTTAACATCCTTCAGTAATAAAACCTTATACCACAGGCCGACATACCACCAGGCCTACGACGCAAAACAGAAATATACATACAGGTGATATAAAATCCTTCAGTAATAAAACCTTATACTACAGGCTGGCATACCACCAGGCCTACGACGCAAAACAGAAATTTACATACAGGTGATTTAAAATCCTTCAGTAATAAAACCTTATACCACAGGACGACATACCACCAGGCCTACGACACAAAACAGAAATTTACATATAGGTGATTTAACATCCTTCAGTAATAAAACCTTATACTACAGGCTGACATACCACCAGGCCTACGACGCAAAACAGAAATTTACATACAGGCGATTTAAAATCCTTCAGTAATAAAACCTTATACTACAGGCTGACATACCACCAGGCCTACGACGCAAAACAGAAATTTACATACAGGTGATTTAAAATCCTTCAGTAATAAAACCTTATACTACAGAACAAAATTATGAAAAGCTATTCAATGTCTGTGACAAATAATGAATACATTCAGTTTATTATTTAATATGAATGAGAATTTTCAAAATATTGGTACAAACATATTTTGACTGCTTTTGCAAGATAGCTACCATTTTCACACTGTATCATTCAGAAATCAATTTCTTACAGTGTTGGTTCATATTCAGGCTTTGTAAGCTAGTAGTAGTTATCTCCCTTCGTCATTGTATCATATTTTGTTTTGGTGTCCCATCGTAGTTTTGATTTGTTTATGACACATGAATTTGTCAGATAGGACAGGTGTTGGGACATTGCTATATACACATGCCAAACATCCTATAAGATGTGTTATATAACATTATATTTATCTAGGTACAGAATGGAGGGAGGAAATAAGTGGATTTAAAATAGATTTCAAAATTCCTGAAACATTATTGAAATGAATTGATGTTAAATGATGCCTCTCTAAAAACAAAGACAACAATACTTGATGTTCTAGAGAGATAATGAATGACAATTACGGAATGTCTTCATCCTCATCTTCATCGTCATCATATCCTCGTGAAGCTTGAATCGCCTCAATGGCTGTCGAAAAATTGGCTAATCGTGTCTTCATAGACTTGGTCCTCGCCAGCGAAGAACCTGTCGTCATAGAAACACTAAGTTAAATAAAATTTAAACAGGCCTGAAGCTATCAAAAGCACAAATAATAGAAAAGAAGTACAGAATGTATAATGTTAAAAACTTATTTACATAAAAATATAAAATAAAATATTGTTCTCTCTTTATAACTTTTTAATGAACAATTAAATATTGTGAAATTAAACATGTGTAAAAGTTTTTCTTGTATCCATTTATCATCCACTCAATGAAAAGATTAAAATGCAATTTGAGTCAAAATAATCTACATCTGTATAGCGTTTGATAACAATGTTGTATAAATGTTTATTATAAAGATCCTACAGGGAATACAACACAATAAATAGCAGCACTCACTCTACGTCCAAGGTTTCCGGCCTAGCCCTTCATCAGGGATTGAATGGTTCAACCCCTTATGTCGCATTCATATTTGAATAATATATAGGTGCAAGGACCATTCCATCCCGATGAAGGGCTAGGCCCGAAAGCTTAGGCCCGATACCTAGGCTGTAGAGTGACTGTAGCTATTTATTAACAAAGTTGTCTTTTACTACAGCTGAAGGTCTAGTTCAAAGCATGATATAGCTTAATCAAACATTTGCTTAAATTTTCATTTGTTTCTCCCAATTTATGGAATATCTTTCAGTTCTCTTCTTTGTCTTAATGCATGTGTTACATTTAACATCATCACAATACAGAATTTATTTCAAAATTTAGGAAATATTTTTGAAAACTATGCAAACTGATGTTAATCAGGCTTTGTGTTCTTGGCTTCAGAAATCAAAATTAAATAAGAAAAACTTTCCTCCCTTCTAGCGTAAAAAGATTCTGAGAAATGAAAGACTATGAAGGCAACTATCTAGTCAATTCCAGGCTCTAATTTCTCTCAAACAAATTACAAAGTTAAATTCTGATTCTATTTTATTTGTGACATAACACAGCAATTAATAGGTCAATTGACCTAATTTGCGACTGTATAACCACCATCGCATATATCCGTTTTACTGGCTTCACTCTGCATCGCCAGTAAAACTCAATTTAAGACAGTTTGAGTATAATCACGATATGCTGCCGCAAATCTCAAAATACATTAGGATTATTCTCTAATTGTTTTAGCATTAGTTTTTCTCTGTATTATGATCTATCAAAATCTGAAGACACTTTTTTTTTCAATGGGAAGGCCTACAGGCTAAAAATAAAGTTGATTTGTTTATAGAGAAATCGGAGCCTTGGTTATTTAAGCTTTAATATTGTAATGCGTAGCGAAAGACACCATTAATGCTGCAACAGTTGTCTGTCAAAGACCAAACCCGAAATATTCTAGCTGAATCGGATATATACATGGTACAGGGTATATACAAGCAGATATACTCAGCTCAGCTGATAAACAAATACATCTACAAATTCTTAAGGAAAAAAATGATTTTCTTTTAAATGTGTTATATTTCATAATTATCATACAAATATAATGTTCAGTAGACAAAATCGGTCAAGAATTATCGATCTGAAAACCTGCTAACCTAACAGGTTTCTATACTCATGTAAACAGCATGGAGACAAATGTATGTATGTTTAAATACGGACAATTAATTGATATTTTAAATTTTAAATAAATTAACAGAATCAAATTTAACTCCTGTTCTAATTAGCTCCCCTCCCCCTCTCTCTCTTTTTAAGGCTAACAAGTTTCAAATACGTGGAGTGATGTGGACAGATCACACAAAGTATAACCCAGGATTACAGCGGTATTAGGTGTGTGTGTATATAGTCAGAGGACTCGTGATGTTAGATGGGTTTTAATTTTAAATAGCAAGTGTTATTAGTACCTACCACAGACCAACATCATAATAACTTGATCAATTTGACAAATACCCTGATTATTATAATAATTTAATGATAATAACAGATCTGAGTTGTATGTACGAACATTATAGAACCAAAGATCAGTTACGGGAAAATTATAATTCATTACCTGATCAGTAAAAATCCAGTTACAAGTTAATTGATAACAGTCAATTATCCACAAATTTTGTCTTTGCGTATTGCAGAGTTATCTTCTCTTGTGAGCAGGTATTGATTGTTACGTCACTTGTTTGTGAGAGTAACGTCATCAGTTTTTGAGAAAACGACGTAATTTTCTAACACAAACTAATGATGTAACAATCAATACCTGCTCACAAAAGAAGATAACTCTGCAATACGCAAAGACGGAATATCTAACTTATAATCTTTGACATGATTGTTTTATTTGACTGTAATTGAAACTGGAGAAATCTCCTTTCCACCTAATAAAAGCACTTGTTTAGTCCCCTTTAACTTACCAGGCTGGACACAGTGACACTTCTACAGTGTAATACATATTACTTTCTGATTCTCAAATTTCATAAATATTTACACAGTATATGAACAAATTAATATCATTATATTATGATTAATTAACATTTTTCATTGTTCTTCTTAACAGGGAGTCCAATTTTGTATTTACAGTATCAAATTCATATTATCCTATTTTGATTTAACATTTTTATTGTTCTTCATATAACTTCAAGTCCAATATTGTATTTTAAGTAGAAATTAACAAATCATATAACATATATTTTTCTCAGTGAAAATATTCAGTCTCAGAGGACTTTTTGTTTATAGCCATTAAAACTGCTGAGAAGTAAACAGAAAAGAAATGTGAAGAAATTCAAACGTATGGACCATGTTTTCCAAACCAGTGTTTCACCCAAAACACAAATTTTAGATTATTCAGGAGATCAAAAAAACTTTTACTATGATTTAAATAAAATATATGAATGTATCAAAAGATAAATCTACACAAGTATGTAGATCATGTCTTGATCAAACGAAACAATTTGTACAGATTTCTAAAGAAGTTCTCAGAATTTGCACAAAAACAAATTTTCTCCTGGATTTTTTTTTGATCTCCCTAAGCTGGTAAGATAAAACCATTAGTTAATGATTATATATACAAAAGGCTGTGGTTCCATACTCATCTTCAATACTTATTAAACTTCATTAACTCATTCACCCCTGAATTTCATAATGAGACTATTCCAACCTTTGAAATGGAAGAGTTCAATGTGTCTTCAGGGGTGAATGAGTTAAAGGTTAAGGTTAAGGGTTTCCACATATTTGTGTTCCACTTCCAATACTTACCACGACATATACGAGTCAAATGATTTCATAATACCAGGTAATAAGCTTTGAATTTTGATAAACAGTAATTTTACTCATTTGTATCTGGTAGAGAAACCAATCAAATTCTTCAAGGACGTTTAAAAATAATCAATTATTTCAATCAATGAAACAAAATTACTTTCTTTCTCTCTCTCTTATATTCATTTCATATAGAATGAAAAGAAATCAAGAAAATATTGGCTATAAAACTTAACACTTTGTGCTACGCCCACTTCGAAAGACACAAATATCTGAGTCACTTTTATTTATCGCGTTTCAAACCGTTGAACTGGTTGGACCAGAGTTGTTCGTTTATGAAAATAAGGTCGGACCTAGTAATCTGATGTTGCTTTCAGGCCAGGCTTGTCAAAGCCTTGCAAGGCCTGCCTTAACATTTGCAGGACCGACAAGATTGCTAGATTTAAAAACGGACAAACCAGTTGTTCTGCATAAACGAAATGGGCCTAGGACTGCTGCCAAAATAACAACAAAGTTTAAATTAGAAAGGTAATGTAGAAACTATATACCGAAAAATGAGGGAAGACATAATTAACGTCTATAAACTTTTGAACATCTAAAACAAGAGGGCATACACATAAAATAAAGAAAAAACATTGTAAATTAAGTATTAGGAAACATTCATTTGCCTACAGAACTGTTGATATATGGAACAGTCTTCCCGAGGCGGTCATACAGCTTTAACAACTAAAAACTTTGAAATTAGTTCGGATAATCACTGGAAACATCTTGAACTGAAATTTAATCACCTAGCTAGCTACAAATCTAAAAACGGGAGTGATTTGTAAATCAAAATTGTTGTATTATATGTTATGGACATAGAGGCAAGTAATTGCCTGCGTCCATCATCTACGCTATTAAATCCTATTCACCCTTTCACCACTGTAGACCATAATGGACACATCCATATTAAGGCATGGTAGAGTCTACTTAAGTTACATAGGGGTAAAAGGGTTAACTAACAATACCTTTATTTAAAGGAAAAATACATCACATACACTAATTAACTCTCGTTATCACATCCATTGCTTCATTAGCAATTAACCCTTTCACCACTGTAGACCATAATGGACTCATTCAGATCCAAGCATGGACAAGTTTACTAAAGTTACATAGGGGTGAAAGGGTTAAATGGTGAGTAGACGGATGAGTATGGAACCAGGTAGAGAAGCACCTAGAGGTTAGTAGCCGCACACCTGTTTTAGGGGGAGTAGTAGTGGCACCTGGGTAAGAGTCCGCAAGTGCATCAGGGGGTAGGGACGATGCCCCGCCCTGGGACGTCCCCGCACTTGAGTTTGTCGTCGTCTCTTGATTTACTGTCTCCAATTCTTTAGCCTGGAAAATAACATACAAAGCAATCCTCATGTCTGCTCCAAAAGAGAAAATTGCAGAGTAGCTTTCAAGGGTGTTTTTTTCAAACTGAATGAGAATGTTGTACCTTAACCATAAGAGGACATGTTTTTTTGCAATAAACAATCTTTCCTCGACCCCAAAACTATGATTTTTTAAAATAAAGAATCAGAAGTTTTTAGTCCTAGTTGACAGTTAATCTTTTTGCTGATTTATTTCTATAAACAGAAGTTTTAGACCAGTATTTTAAGTTAAAACACTAAAAAATGCTGTTTAGTCCACATATTCAAATTTTATAGCTAATATTGATCTAAATATAGATATTATTTTATATATTCAATATTAAAAGTGTTTGTCATGAATGCAAACTAGACTTCCATAAGTCTAAAGTCATCAAAATGGTTGCTTCTAACAGTTGTCTATATTTATTCGAGGTGGCAAGAGAAGCTTCAAACTGAGTCAGATCAAATTGCATTTCATAGCCCTATCAATGCAAATTCTTCCGGAAAAGGTTATATAGGTTCTTGCAGTGGAAATGTAAATATATCGTCTGCAAAAATCTTATCTTTCTCACACAGAATGATCAACTTACTACGTCTTTAACCACAATTAGCTTACCTTTTCTCACACAGAATTACTACATCTTTACCTGTAATTAGCTTACCTTTTCTCACACAGAATTACTACATCTTTACCTGTAATTAGCTTACCTTTTCTCACACAGAATTACTACATCTTTACCTGTAATTAGCTTACCTTTTCTCACACAGAATTACTACATCTTTACCTGTAATTAGCTTACCTTTTCTCACACAGAATTACTACATCTTTACCTGTAATTAGCTTACCTTTTCTCACACAGAATTACTACATCTTTACCTGTAATTAGCTTACCTTTTCTCTTGCTGCCTGATCCAAGTTATATACCCCTAACAGTAAACTGTAATCCATGATCTTAAAACTCTCTAGCACCTGGAAATAAAAAAAACATCTGGGTAAAATATACAGTATAAGACATCAATTTCTATTACCAAGGTGTATTCACACTTTTCCCGGTGTGAGATTAATAGAATCTTTCACCCCCTTGGGAATTTATACCACAGGGGGGAGGAGAGATTCTTAAGTTGTCAAACACGAGGCTTTAAGAATCTTTCCCTGTGGGTTGAGATTCCCAATCTTACATTCAGGGGGTGACTGATTCTTTTTCTCTGACCCTGTTCACCCATTGTGTATCTTATACAGAATGTAATGTTAACGTTACAGGGTTAATTCAGGGTTGACGTGACGTTGATGGATCATTGACATGACGTAACACCATTCTTATGAATAGTGGAATCCCCTGTCTCAACCCTAGGGTGAGACAAGGGTGAACAGGGTATGAGAAAAAAACAATAACCCCTTTGAGGTGAGATCGGGAAAGATTCTTAAATTGCCAAACACTCCGCAAAGTGTCGTGCTCGGTAACTTAATAATCTTTCCCCTCAGGTAGAGGATTCCCCTAGCTCATCCTCAAGGGAGTGAAAGATTCTAATAATCTCACAAAGTTATTTTAAATACATATCAATAAAGTTTTCTTTTAAATATCTTACCATTTCATTGGTTAACAAATTTGTATTTTTGTGAAAACATTTTTTCTTTTCATACACTTCTGGATCATTTTATTATATTTCCGTTTATACGAATGAATTCTACCAAATTTTCAAATGTTACAAGACTGCTCTAAGTTAAACATGCTGAAAAATATAGAGGTATAGTGTCGGCAAAAACAAAATAAACAAATCTATGTCAGGTTAGTCGACATTTCAGTGTCCCTTGTAGGTTTCAGCATGCATTTAAATGACATAAGAATCTTTAATTTTATCTTTTAACGTCACAAGCTATTGTCAATTAGGAACTAAATCATTCCTGTAATATCCTCAGTAAAGGATTGAGATGTACATTACAAATTCTAAACATTGAAGATGACGTGAAACCCATTTCTGACAAACATATTCCATGATGAGCAATTTATTTCATTATAGTGTCACACGTTAGTGCATACTAAAACAATGACATTTTAAAAAGCAGATTTAAAATATCTTCAATTCTAACTATAAATCATGATGTATTAACATCCGGCCATAGTCTGCCTATGAGACACTCTAAAGGAGGATGAAATATTAAAACTTATTCCATGATGAGCTTCAGTAACAAACATCATAAATATATCAAAGAAGATCTGTGTATAAGGGGAGACAACTGTAGGTCCTACCCGACAATCTCTCTGTATGGTTTTCACCAAGGCGTCGTGTTTGTCTTTCTCCAGTAGAATTCCTTCGGGATGAATGTCACTAAAATCTAAATCCTTAAGTGTCGGGCTGCTCTTACTGCGTTCGTGTTTCGACGCCTTGCGTTTGTACGTACTTCCTTTAAGATCATATTTTTCATGGAGTTTAACAGAAGATGGAAGTAAATTATTCATAACTACAAACCGGATATTTTTCCCACCACACTGAAAAGAAAGAAAATTGCATCAACTGGCATAAATAACATTTTAAGATTTTTTTTTTCTAATCATACCCTCGTACCTTGTTTCTCATAAAACAAAAGTATATGAACTTACTGTAAAAGAGGAAATTTTTGCGATGTTGAAATGTTTTGCATTTTTCATGTCACATAAATTAGTACGAAAATATCCACACATAAATATATATTTATAGATTATAAAAATAATGAATGAGTTTCTAAATAAAGAGAAATCAGATTCCATATAAGGAGAGAGACTCCATATAAGGAAATAGACGCACTAGTGATAAATGTGCAATTCTACATTAAGCAAACTTCGTAGTAAGCTCAATCCCCTAGACACCTGTGTTACCTAATGCATGTGTCAAAAGTTATTGAGATATATATAGACTTTAAATTTCAGAGTAAAATATACTTACGTGAAAGTTTTCCACACCATGATCATTTTAAGAATCAAAACACAAACATTTCCACATGCAATAATTTTCACTTTTACAGATTATTTAGGATCTTAAACAATGCCTGATGAAAATCAGCCTAAAATCTTTTCTTTAAAGTGGACTTTCTACATTTAAGGTAGGTAGCAAATTAAAAAAAAAGTTTCGTCTTTAAATGGTAAGAAAATTAGAAGACACAAATCAAACTAGTTTGATACTGTCAGCATTAAAGAAAAATCCTCCTCATTCTTAGGCAAATCTTACTTGGAGAATTGATGCAGTACATACTTTCGTTATTTCTATCCCAACATAAAAATATCTTACCTGGTAACAATACAGACCATAAAACTTGGGCAACAACGTCCGTGGATTTTGGTTTAAATTCTGAAAAAAGAAATTCACAGAAATGAATCACCTGAAGCTTTACTTCAATAACGATCACCAAAGTATGTTATCTTCACTTAAAGCACTGTACAGTGTACATATATGAATGCTATAAGTGTAAGTATAATAGCTATGAAATATGCCTGCGGCGGCGAGCGTCATCTACGATCAGACCAACAGTAAGTTAAACATGTCCAAATAGCAGCTTGACAAAGTGTAGACTACAACGAGTGTCGTTACACACTGTCGCACATCGCCTTTGGGTCAAATCATCGCACGTGAATCACAGAATCACCGCGTCAGCTAGCTGATCACAATGTGATACATTTCAATGGGACATTTAAGTGAAACAAAATTGTTGGAGTCAGAGGTAAAAACAAGGGTCAGTCGGGTTACCCGAGACAAGAGGCCCAGAGGGCCTGTATTGCTCACCTGTTCCTGACAATGGACGCCGGGCCAGGTGAGCTAAAAATACTTTTTTTTTTGGCCTTAAACATGACATCTTAAATCTGGTCAATATTACAGAAGGAAAATCTCAGAGAAATCAGAATAATACTCAGTATGTTAAATGTTACAACTAAAATGTTATAAATCTAATTTATTTCCTAATTTCATTTTGGAAAATGGCCTCCTGAAAGATAATTGTGCCTTAAGTCATTATATTTATCAATGCAAATAATTGTCCGTGGGAGTCAGGTAAACGTTTCTCAGACCCTCAGTCAGTTCCTGCGTGCATGGACTTAATCTTGAAATGCTTTACAAGTAACTGCATCTATGTAACCTAATACATATAAAAGTGAGTGGAAAACAGCACAAACTCCTGTATTTCTGTCGTTACCATATAGTATCCAGGAAGTAGTTTCTGTAAGAAATCCGCCTCTTTGTGTTGAACAGTTTTAATGATGAACTCATCGTCCGAGGTAAGGTAGAAAATGCTTCCACTAGCACCAGGATTAGACAGTTCCTTTAGGGGGTCGTCACATAGGGACAGCTGAAAAATCAACAAAAAGTTAAACACTGTCACTAGCACTGGGGTAAGACAGTCTGCGCATGTATTAAGCAGTTCACATATTTATTCACATTATAAGTCTACTGCATCTAGATGAAAATGGGGCATGTAGAATTTCAACCCAGGGCAAGTGTAGTTTTGATGTTCACTTACCCTGAAAATTAATTTGAGTTTTATTTTTAATCAGAGATATTTAAGTCAATAGATTTGGAAGAATCAATTTGAGTTTTATTTTCAATCGGAGATATTAGATTTCTATAAATTTGAGAGAATCAGTTGAGTTCAATTTTTAATCGGAGATATTAGATTTCTACAGATTTGAGACGATCGATACATACCAGAAAATCATCAGGCTGAATTCCAAACAACTCTCGAAAATATCTGAACGCAATCGGAGCATAGGTTTTGAACCTGAAATCACTACAGTGGTGAGCGGGTGTGAGGTTGCTTCCTTCTCTGTAAACATAAATAGCAGAAAATATATTCATCGGTGATTAAAAATATTCAGATTCATATAATGAAACTATGATATATTAAATGCCCCTTGTTTATACACAGCACAAGATATAATGCCCCTTGTTTACACACAGCACAGGATATAATGCCCCTTGTTTACACACAGCACAGGATATAATGCCCCTTGTTTATACACAGCACAGGATATAATGCCCCTTGTTTATATATACAGTAAAAAAGACATATCATCCCTCATATATATAATTATAGTAAAACCTTGACATAACACCCTTGTTTATAAAGAAAAACCCCAATATCGTGCCTCATTTCCATACAGTAAAACCTAAATATAATGTCCATTGTTCACCTATACAGTAAAACCTAAATATAATGTCCCTTGTTCACCTATACAGCAAAACCTTAATATAATGTCTATTGTTCACCTATACAGTAAAACCTAAATATAATGTCCCTTGTTCACCTATAAAGTAAAACCTAAATATAATGTCCCTTGTTCACCTATACAGTAAAACTGATGTAATGTACCATCCCTCATATACAGTAAAACCTTGATTTAAACCCCCTGTTTTTATAATGTAAAATCTTCACATAACACCCCTCGTGTACATAGTACAACTCTGATGTTATGCCCCTCATTTGCACCAAGTTTTTATACACTGTCAGTAAAACTTTGATATTATGCCCTTCATTCGTATTCCAGCATCCCACTTGTACCATTCCATTAGCCTGTCGCATGGGGCTAATATGTCTGGGATAGTGAATAATTTTCATAGTCACAAGAAATTGTGTATATTTGACGAGCAGAATTTTCCAGATATGAAATAGTGCACTACTGAGCTTATATGAAAGTATTACAGCTCTTTAATGTTAGTGTTCATATTAACCCTTTCACCCCTATGTAACTTTAGTAAACTCTTCCATGTTTTGGTCTGGACGAGTCCAACATGGTATACAGTGGTGAAAGGGTTAACACTGTGTTTGCGATGTGGATTTCCCACGTATCATACAATGAAACGGATATTTCAAATATCTCAATAACCGTCCTCGATATCCAGGGGTAAGTTACACTCACTTACGCTCTCTGCACCCATGGAATATGTCATAGCAAAATTGAAGCCACATAGCTAGCTATTTGATTGGCCTTTTGGGTAAGAAAACCTGACCAATCGCTAGGCTGATAATTGTCCTCTGAATATTATAGAGGAATGACACGCGTCTTCAAAGCCAGTCAATTTTACCGCTATGCTACAGTGAGATTCTTTGATGTACATCAAAGGACCAATCAAGTCTTCTTGCATCATTAACAAGGTGGTGTACACTGAGTCTTCGATTTGGTTGCGACATATTCCAGGGGTGAAGAGAGCGTTTGTGAGCATGACCCCTGGAGTATCGAGGATGTACATATTCCAGGGGTTCAGAGAGCGTAAGTAACCCCTGGAGCATCGAGGATGGACATATTCCAGGGGTTCAGAGAGTGAAAGTAACCCCTGGAGTATCGAGTATGTACATATTCCAGGGGTTCAGAGATCGTAAGTAACCCCTGGAGTATCGAGGATGGACATATTCCAGGGGTTCAGAGAGTGAAAGTAACCCCTGGAGTATCGAGGATGTACATATTCCAGGGGTTCAGAGAGGGAAAGTAACCCCTGGAGGATCGAGGATGGACATATTCCAGGGGGGCAGAGAGCGAAAGTAACTCCTGGAGTATCGAGGAGGGACATCTTCTAGGGGTGCAGAGAGCGTAAGTAACCCCTGGAGTAACGAGGATGTACATATTCCAGGGGTGCAGAGAGCGTAAGAAACCCCTGGAGTATCGAGGATGGATATATTCCAGGGGTGCAGAGAGCGTAAGAAACCCCTGGAGTATCGAGGATGTACATATCCCAGGGGTGAAGAGAGCGTTTGTGAGCATGACCCCTGGAGTATCGAGGATGTACATTTCCCAGGGGTTCAGAGAGCGAAAGTACCCCCTGGAGTATCGAGGATGGACAGATTCCAGGGGTGCAGAGAGCGAAACCAACTCCTGGAGTATCGAGGATGTACATATCGCAGGGGTTCAGAGAGCGAAAGTACCCCCTGGAGTATCGAGGATGTACATATCCCAGGGGTGAAGAGAGCGTTTGTGAGCATGACCCCTGGAGTATCGAGGATGTACATATCGCAGGGGTTCAGAGAGCGAAAGTACCCCCTGGAGTATCGAGGATGTACATTTCCCAGGGGTTCAGAGAGCGAAAGTACCCCCTGGAGTATCGAGGATGGACAGATTCCAGGGGTGCAGAGAGCGAAAGTAACTCCTGGAGTATCGAGGATGGACATATTCCAGGGGTGCAGAGAGCGTAAGTAACTCCTGGAGTATCGAGGATGGACATATTCTAGGGGTGCAGAGAGCGTAAGTGAGCGGAACCCCTGCAGTATCTCGAATGCACTCTAATGATAATACAAGAGGCCCAATGGGCCTGCATCGCTCACCTGGTATTAATCTCACACTTGTAATCTTAAAAAGTGGACTAAAATACATCTACAGGCAGAATATCAGTGTTTGATTCATAAGAACCTATTTAAAGATTTATACATATGACGCCTGTGACGTTGAATGTCGAACATGGACATTAGGTTGAACAGAGTTTATAGTCTTCCAACACAGCATGCATCTGGCAAAATATCATTACACTGGACCTTTTGGTTATATAGAACAAATCATTTAAAGATTGAAACATATATTGACCACTGTGACCTTGAATATGGGTGAAGGTCATTCACTTGGTAGTCCTTCATCCCAGCATGTTAATGGCCAAATATCATCACTCTTGGCCTTTTGCTTGTTAAGAAG